CTTGTTGACGCGGCTTGAGGGAGCTGATTTGAACTACAGTGAGCTCCAAAAGAAGACCAAGTTGCTGGCCCTACTCCCCGAGTCGTGGTCCTTGCTCATCATCAACTTGAAACGTGACCTACCCCGTCTCTCGCTTGAAGACGTGAAGCGCGCGATCCTACAAGAGGACTTCCGCCGCCGTGAGTTGGCGAGTGCGGATGGCGCTGGGGCAGCAAGCGTCGGCCGTGGATATGGCCGAGGAAGAGGCAGAGGACGAGGGGGAGGAAGATTTGGTGGCAGCAACTTCGGTGGAGGCCGCGGGAATGGCAGATATGGCAGCGACGACAAGAGCTACGGGCGCGGTCGCGGCCGATTCGACGGTGTGCCATTATTGCGGCAAGAGCGGACATATGTGGCGCGATTGCTACAAACTCCCTGAAGGATGGACCCCTGCTCAAGGCCAAGAGGGTGGAGGAGCAGGAGGAGGGAGAGGCAGAGGCCGTGGAGGCCGTGGCGGTCGCGGAGGTGGAGCCGCGAACATGAAGAACGAAGATAACGACAAGGACCCGAGCGGCGATCGGTACCCGGGCCTATTCTATTTTGTGTCGACGCAAGTACCTGCTGGTCCAGAGAAGGATGAAGACCTTGAGGAGCCAGCAGCTGTGGGGAAGGTGATCCTACACCCTCTGGACTACTAGGTGATTGACAGCGGCGCTACCTATAGCATGACACCTCGCCCCGACTTGCTCACCGAACTTGAGCCGTCACCGGTGAAGCATGTCACATCGGCTTTGGGGCAGCGAGCAGAGGTGAAAGGCATGGGCAAGGCCATGTTCAAGGGTGCTGATGGAAAGATGGTGGGCCTCAAGAACGTGCTTTGGGTGCCCAGCCTTGCTGCGAACCTGATTTCCGTGCGGCGGTTGGCAAAGGCCGGCATGGACACGAACTCGAAGGGAGCCAAGACCTACACCGCAAGGATTGGCGACCGGATTCTTTGGGACCTTCATGAAGATAGGGACGTCTACAACGAGATGTGGCAGATCCCTGTGGTCCCCATGCCTAAGGAGAGGCAAGTGGCAGCAAGCGTCAGCACCAAGGGTGACGCGGTTGGTAGCGGCGATAGCGCGGACGGTCGCGCTAAGGAGAACGAGCTCAAGAAGAGCAAACCTGGAGCGGCCAGCAAGCTGTGTGACCACAAGGAGAGTGGTGCAGCAGCCAAGGAGGAGCACAAGAGTGAGGAGAACCCCGAGGCAGCAGCGAAGGAGGACTACGGAGAGAGTATGTGGGGCGCTATTGCGAGCGCGGCATTCTCCAATCCGACTTCGGCTACGGGGGAGTGTGATTGGCTCACCTTGCATCGGCGAATGGGGCATGTGGCCCTACCCATCTTGCAGCAGCTAGTGAAGAATGAGATGGTTGCTGGCATACGTGTGAAGGGGGAGCCCGATGAGGTGCTTGGCTGCCCAACGTGCTTGCAAGCCAAGTTCACCCGATTTCCGTTCCCTAGTTCGGAGACGACGGCAAAGGCACCACTTGATGAGGTGGTGATGGACGTGGTGGGCCCCCTGAAGCTTGGAGCTGCTGGAGCAGAGTACTTCCTCACCATCGTCGACGTCTACACCCGCATGACCTGGGTGTACGTGCTGGCTAAGAAGAGCGACGTTGCTGAAACGTTGAAGACCGACTTTTTGCCGATGGTGGAGCGGCAACAAGACCGACTTGTGAAGTCGATCCGCACCGATCGAGGGGGAGAGTTCCTGGGCAAGGAGTTTGGGTTGTGGCTGAAGAAGAATGGTATTCGGCACTCCCTCACCATGCCATACTCCCCTGCAATGAACGGCATCGCCGAGCGAGCGAACCGGACGATCACGGAGGCGGCACGCGGGTTGCTCATCGAAGCCGGGCTACCCGACTATTTCTGGCCTGATGCGGTGCGGAGCGCGTGTGTGGCCAAGAACAGAGTTTTGACTCATGTGGGAGCAGACAAATGGGTGCCCTATGTGGATTGGCTCGGAAGGAAACCAAGGTGGATATGCTTCGGGTGTTCGGGTGCATGTGCATGGCGCTCGTACCTAAGCATCTTCGGCACAACAAGCTTGGTGCCAAGGCGGTGTGGGCCGTGCACTTGGGCATGGCTCAAAACAGCAAGGGGTGGCTTCTTTGGGACCCATTCACCAAGAAGTTCATGGTGAGCAGGGACTGCAAGTTCATGGAGAACTTCATGTACAAGGATTGGAAGGCGGAGAATGAGGCGAAGATAGGCGTGCGGTTTGGGGAGGTGAAGAGTTCCGGGTTGGAGCACGTGGAGCTGCCTTTGGAGCTGAGCAGTGGCAGCACCACCACAAGGCAATCTTCCCTTGTGAATGGGGGAGAGGAGGCCAAGGATGCAGAGGAAGAGGAAGAGGAGGAGGTGCAGCAAGTGAGCGAGCGTGCACCGACACTTCCTACCCGCACTACGAGTGCTCCACGGAACCGAGCTACACCGCAGCAACGCCAAGGCCTTCAAGTCCCTGCAGCTGAGGAAGGAAGGGTGAAGAGGAAGGTCCAACCCCCTAAGAGGCTGACATATGATGCGCCGGGAGAGCCGGGCAAGACGGCCCTGGCCGGAGCGGCAATGATGGTTGGAGACGACGAGGAGAGTGACTACGAGGAGTGTGCCTTCGCATTCTTCTCTCCGATGGAGATGCCGGGAGAACCAGCAACTCTCAAGGAAGCCTTGGAGAGTAGTGATGCTGAGGAGTGGAAGAAGGCAATGGAGAGTGAGCTGAAGAGCATCGAGGAGAACGACACGTACGGATTGTTGGAGCTATTGGGGACAGTGTGGCACTGTTCCCCATCACTGTAGCTCGGTTCTTGGGGTTTGTAGGAGCTGGGAGTCCTTCCCAACTCGTAACTCTTCCTAGCTGTTCGTAACTTTGTGTTCTAAGACTATGTTGCTGCTATAGTGCCGTTCCTTCAAACCGACGCTGTATCGTCAATTCTTGATGAAATCGTGCGATCTAAATTGCCTATTGTAGGCGACGTTAAGACGCTCCAGATCCAAGTTGAATGAGGTCAATTGGAGTTGTGAGCAGATCGCTATGAACGTTTAAAGCCGCTGTGCAGAAACCTGACTGCGCACTCTATCTTTGGCTCTAGGCACATTGAAGCCTATTGGAGCCTACTGTGACAATAACAGTAGCAGGCATCCAGCTCGACGGGATGAACTCTCTGCTCAAGGGTCTATCCCAACATGGATTCTCCGTGGACGGCGAGATAGCAACGGCAGAAAAAACAGAAACTGTTACAGTGGGAGAAAGACTTAGCGGTAAGGAAGGGTTCAGGAAAGATTTGGGTACCGAATTACGCCCCGCTACGGCAGATCCTGTTAGAGGAGTTTCACGACGTACCATACGCGGGACATTTCGGGAGCAACAAGACGTTAGCGGGAATAGCGAAGTATTACTACTGGCCCTGGATGGCAGCAGACGTGCAGCAGTTCGTCACCTCCTGCGACACGTGCCAGCGGATGAAGAGTAGCAAGCAGAAGAAAGCAGGGTTACTTCAGCCTCTACCCGTACCGGAGCAGCCATGGCAGGTCGTTAGTCTCGACTTCATCACAGGACTTCCCTCGACCTCACGGGGACACGATTCCATCCTCGTAGTCATCGACAAGTTCTCCAAAATGGGTCACTTCATTCCGACCAACGCCACAGCTACAGCTGAAGCAACTGCTCGCCTCTTCTTCGACCGCATCATCACCATCCACGGCATCCCCGCTACACTCATCTCAGACAGAGACCCAAAATTCACGAGTAAGTTCTGGAAGGAGCTCATGGGACTGTTGGGGACTAAGCTTGCGATGTCTTCAGCATACCATCCCCAGACTGACGGACAGACAGAGCGACTCAATCAGGTGGTTGAACAGTTACTGCGCACAGCTTGCAAAGACGATATCAGCCACTGGGACACACAGTTACCGACCTTAGAGTTCGCTTACAACAACGCCTCGCATGCGGCCACAGGAAAAACCCCTTTCTTCCTGTGTTACGGACGGGAACCACTCACCCCACAGCAACCAACTACACCAGCACACGTCCAAGCCGCACACGACTTCGTCACCACCATGCAGCAGCTATGGGAGAAGACTCAGCGGCGTCTCACTACGATGCAGAACTCCCAGAAGCAGTATGCCGATCGTCAGCGACGGGATCACTCAGTAGCAGTCGGAGATCAGGTGCTTCTTGACACGCGCAACTTGAACCTGTCTCACCTACCGTCCAAACTCCGGCCTCGCTTCTGTGGTCCTTTTCTCGTGGAGGCACAGGTGACACCAGTTACATTCCGCTTGCGCTTACCAGATACGTGGAAGCTTCACAATGCTTTCCATGTTCAGCTACTGAAACCCTACAAGGACCCCAACCAACAGTTCCAGGGACGACAGCTACCGCCACCACCACCTGTTCTTGTGCAGGATGAACCCGAGTACGAGATCGAGCGCGTTCTCACTCATCGGCGCCGCGGCGGCAAGACCCTCGAGTTCCTGATACGCTGGAAGGGATACGACCCCACTGAGGACAGTTGGGTGCCAGAAGCTGATATGGGCAACGCACGCCGTGCTCTCAAGGACTATCTTGTCAAGCAGGGTGTATCTCACGCCACCCAGCTTTGAGGGGGGGACTTGTGAGAGTACGACGGCTTATGCTTGTTATTCATGCTTGCTTTTATTTCCTTACGCTACTTCTAGCTTAGGATTAATTTCTGCATGCATGAATTGCTTGATTCCTAGGCTAGGTGCTTTCCTATATTTTATTATAGTTATAAGCACCGTGCTAGGTTACACCGAATTCGGAGCTATTCGGTTGCCACCGAACTGCTTTCTACCGAATTCGGGAAGGGTCTGTTCGGGACGCTTCGCGACCCGCAGAACCTTCTCGTAACACCTGGTTACTGGGCCTTGTGTCAAGCCTATATATAGCCTCGTGTTGTACCCAGGTGATCATTCAATTTACATTCTCATTTCTGAACTCGATCCTCGATCCTCACACTAGCCCTCCCAGCTGTCCGATCTCCTCTGGCAGTGCCGTAATTTGCGAGCACCCGATGACCACGAGGCTGGTGAGAGTGAGGCCGATGGCAGGGAGGGAGGGAGGCAGGGCAAGCAGGTGTGGCAGGTCGAAGAGAGTGAGCTCCTTGAGGCTTGTCAAGCGGGAGAACCTGCCTGGTAGCGTAACTAAGCTGGTTGCTCCAAAGATTTTTAGGGTTTCGAGGGAGGAAAGGTTGGAGAAGGATGGAGGGAGGCGGGCGAGTGCCGTGCATTCGTGCAAAATAAGTATGCGCAAGCTATGCAGACCATCGCCCTGCGGTAGCGCGGTCAGATTGCAGCAGTAACTGATTTCCAGCAGCTCGAGGGAAGACAGCAGAGTGAGGGAGTCTGGAAGCTGCGCCAGCATGCTGCATCCGGATATTTTCAGATCCCTGAGGCTCCTCAGGTTGCCAAGGGATGCAGGCAGGCTGCTGAGCTCGAAAATATGAAGCAGAAGAAGGGCCTCCAGGGCAGTCAGCTGCCCGATTCCCTCGGGCAGAAAATGTGGAGTTTCGGATTTTTCAAGCGTGAGCTTCTTAAGTGTGGTAGCAAGGTACATGGCGGGATGCAGGTGCACATCCGCTCCAACGTCTAGCCTGAGCATGCGTAGGTGCGTCAGAGAAGCGGCGTCGAGAGGCAGATGGCGTAGGTGTAGATTGATAAGGATAAGGTCCGTCAGACAAGGCAGGTGGGAGAGGGAGGCAGGGAGAGAGACTATATCGTGGCAGTAGATGACGGTAAGGAACCGCAACCGCTGCAGCTGCCCAAGACTTGCAGGAAAGTTGGTGAATCCCTCCACGCACTCCAGGCGGATGGTTTCAAGCGCCGGCAGGTATCCAAAACTCTCTGGAAGCGGTGAAAGCTTCTTCCAGTAAGAAATTTCGAGGGTCAGCAGGGATGAAAGGTTGGAGATGGATTCGGGCAGCTGAAGCCTCGCGGACCTGCTGATGAAAAGATGGGTCAAGTTGGTAAGCTGCCCGAAAGACTCGGGAATAGATCTGAGACGCGTGCATCTGTGTAGCCGGAGCGACTTGAGTAGCCTCAGATTTCCGAAACCCTGAGGTAGTTCGCCCAGGCCGTACATTTCAAGCACGAGATGCGCGAGTGCCTGTAACGAGGTGAACGCGCCTGGATGGAGAGCGACTCTCCCCCTGTCCTTGATGCGCAGGCTCTTGAGTGACGCAAGGCCGCCGATTGACGCAGGAATGACGGTCAGATTGGGCTGGGAATTGAGATGAAGTGCCTCCAGCCGTGTGCATCTCTCTAGGAGATATGAAAGTCCCTTCTGAGTGAACCGCCCAACTCTATACCGTCGTTCCATCGAATCGCGTGGAGATCCGTCAGATTTGGACACGTGTCAGCAATCTGGGAGAGGAGGGAGTCGCGGACGGATGTGATGCTATCGACAGTGAGGACGAGCTTTCGGAGCCTTGGGAATGTCGAGAGGCGCGCGAGCAGTTCGCGAGGATGCATGCGACGGTTTTCGCGAATCTGGATATGATCCTGCACGAGATGGGCGATGCTATACCATTTCTTGCACACAAGTGCGTACTGGAACTGACCGTCGGATTGACCGACGAGATGCAATATCGTGGAGAGGAGTTCGTCTGACAGTAGTTTAATCGGTGATTCAGCCGCCATTCTAGCAAGTTGATAAGACGCCATGGGACTAACGTAAGCGCTTGAGGCCTAATAAGGGCGAGCGTCTCACAGAAGTCTTCACAACAGCAAGGAACCCTGAGCGACGTGCGGGAATGAAATGTGAGAAGTTTAGTCTGAGAGAGTCGCGATACAAGGGCGTGTTACTCAGGGTCTAGTCCTCTGGTCTCACTAGCTGTGAGCAAGCTCGAGGCAAGGCAAATGCAGTTCAGGGTTACCATATCACACCGTCGTGGTCCACCCTGGTCGGAGCCAATTTGATGGTCTGCCACGCAATATAGCAGGGGGGCATTTGGTCTGTCAGCTCGGCCCGCAAGGTTGGTCTGGGACGTGGTTTGGGCCTGGTCCGTCGGACCAAACCTCATTTGGCGGATCAGGAACTTCGCGGACCTTGACTCGAAGGTCTATCATTTTGACGAAACTGATGGAGAAAAATGAAATGGAAAAGAATTGGTATGAAAAGTTCAGTGCGGTAGGGTGAGACGCTATACCAGTACGTTTTAGGCTCCTACTTTTGATTACTGTAGAGCTGCCCTTAGCGAGGACAGCCCGGATCACTTCGCGTCAGTGTGGCTCGGCCTACACTTTCGCACAAAACCAGCACCGAATCTCCCCGCACCAATCACGACATTTCCAATCCTCGCACATCACGAGGTTCTCGCCTAGCACGCGTTCGCCCTACAAGTGCTTGTTTTCTTCGTTGTTTCATTATTCTGTAATCATGTTTTCTTCCTTAATGTTACGAGTAGTAATGTTTGAATATTACTGTGCACTCCTCACCGCAGCTAAGGAAGCATGCAGTATCGAGAACGAACGCGAAGAGTCAGAATTGACTCGAAGCATCAGGCGGTTGGGGTGCATCTGGACCGTCGAAGAAGGCGGCATCGGGCAGCTGCAGGCACGAGGGAATGGAAACAGTTTCGTAACTGTACGCGCCGCACGGTTGGGAATGAATTTGAATAAGGGAATGTACCCCTTAGAGTACATGGCTAGAGATGTCGATTCGAATTCCCTGTACTCTTATTTATATCGTTGTATCACCATGTTTTATTTTATCTCAAGCATTTTACATTTTTCTCTGCTATTGAGGTCAAGGGCCCACCTTGTCTATCTACCTGCGTGCGAACCTTCCCGACGAGATCCTGGCAACGATCAACTTCTGATCGCAGCATGGTATGAGAGCGGCTCAGGAATCCTTCGCACTGCCACTCCCGAAAATTACGACATTCGGAAAGTGGCGTCCGGCACACGATCGCGTGTGAGAATGGCCGGAGGATCTGGTGGTCAGACTAATCTGACGGCTGAAGCGCAACCCAACCCGGCTGCGACAAACGAGGAAACGACGACTATCAGGACTGAAGTCATCGCACAACTGCTTCAGCGACTCACCAACCTGGAGCAAGGGCTCCAAACATTGCGGAACGGCGATGCGGGAATTTCCTCGCAACCTTCTCAACCGGCCTCAAACGGCCAGAACGCCGCCCCGCACACTTTCTCCCTCGACACAAATGGTTCAACCCCCAAGGCTCCCCGTCCCAGTGAAGAGGCAATTCTCTCTGCGCAATCAAGGTTTCTCAGCATATCAAAAATAAAGACAAGTACCTGCTTCGACGGCAGAGATTTCTATACCTAGAGCTTTGAACTGGAGCTCCTGCTGCAGAACGCCCAAATCTTCCATTATTTCGACGGGAGCTACGCGGAACCCGCTGAGGACACCGACGACGCCAGGACTCGCTACTACAACGAGTCCCTGATGGCGTACGGAATCCTCCTGCGCAACATGTCGCCGGCGGAGCAGTTAAACATCCGTTTGTACAATACATCGGCTGCTCCAGCCCTCGACGCTTGGCGCCACCTGAACGGTGTGTATCAGCCGAAGGACTCCGTCTCTTCGAGCCGGCTGCTCCAGCAGCTACTGGAGACCAAAATGACCTCAGGGGAGAAGGTCAACAGCTACATCAATCGCTGTCGGAGCCTTCGCGACCAAATCGCGAAGTTGGGGAGTTCAATTTCAGAGGAAATCTTCGTCAACATCGTGCTTCAAGGGCTCGGCCCAGAGTGGCGGCCTTGCAAGGCGCTTCTCTGATAGCAGGGGGTCATCTCGGAGGCCGCCCTTTGCGCCGCCCTTCTCGTCGAACAGCAGGATATGGATCAGCAGCGCCCAGCACCACGACGAGAACGTGAACGGCTCGCCTTCTACGCCGACAACAACGAAGAGCGACCGCCGCGGCGCCTCTACTGTAAGATTTGCAGAAATTTCGAGCATTTGGCGGATCGATGCAAGTACCGATCACGCCCTCGCCAGACCAATCTGAGTAACTGGTCCGGCCGACAAGACGCACGAGGCGACGTGCGTCCAGCCCAGGGGTATCAACCCCCACCCGCGCGCAACCTGAACCCAGCGGTTCAGCATCAGCAGCAGCAGCCGTCACCGACTGCCACAGTACGCAATGTCATGAGCAACATGGCCATGACAGGCGAGTCGCGTCGTCGCCGCGTGCGCTCACCCTCACTTGAGCCAGCACCGCATCCCATTGGCGCGTTCTCCAACAATAACCCGTTCAGTCCGCGCCACTTCACCGACGACGACGACCAGAACTGGAACCTTCCAGTCTTGCTGCTTGAAAGTCCCCCGCACGTACCTGATATGCGGGTGGCGCCACTTGATTGGCTCTCGCGCGAGAAATTTCTAAAGTTTAACACTCTGCACATCGTCACGCCGCGATTGGCGCTGCTCGCACGTGACGACAACAAGCGCCACAACACCTAGTATCTGGAGAGCTGCTGCGGAGAGCATATGGTGGGCTCCGAGCGTTACATATCCAACGCCGTCGCCACCCCCACAGTCACCTACGTCACCGTGGCTAACAACACACGCCTGCGCGCAAGCGCGTAAGGCATCGTCGTGCTCAAGGCGCTCGGAAGCCGCACGCACATCACACTCAAGGATGTGCTGATCGTCTAGAACCTGCGATTCAACCTACTTTACGATGGACTGCGGCGTTGACCTCAGCACGGATCACGCGACGCGCGAAATTTTGCTGCACTACAAATCAAGGACTTTCCCCCGCAGGCAGATCGGACGAGCACACTCCGAAAATGGAGTGTACGTCCTAGACTTTGACATCCCCGACTGCAGCGGCGATTCGCACGAGTTAATCGATCTCGTACCACTACGCTTCGAGCATATCCACCGCAGGGATTGGAAGCACCTTGACGGTAGACCAAGGGTGCCACATCATCTTCACCCACATGAAACAGCGCTAGATGACCGTGACCCAGACGGCATCTGCAGAGACTGCCACATGCCAACGGCTTCAACTAGCGCAATTGCCGGCCGCGGACTCGCCGCCATCGCCGAAGCCGAGCACCATGCGCCACCAGAAGAAGGAATGTTACAACTGGAGCTTGAAGTCACCACGCACGGCGTGTTCGGTATGCCAGAACACCCTCTCATCGGACCCCCCTCACAACACCTTCAAGGCATGCTGCGTGGCACCGGCGTCGGTACCTTCGATGTGCATGGCGTTCCTCGACCCTACACCCACGAGAAGTTCCTGGAAATCTACTCCCATCGGCGCGACTCGTCGAAGAAACTTACCGTGGAGCAAGAAGAAGAACTGGCGCGCCGCGAAGCTGAGGAGCTTTGCGCAAAGCATTGCCAAAGCACGCGGGACTTTCGCTTGCGGCGCGTGGGGAGCCGAAGCGGAAGAAAGTGCCTCCAATGAAGGGGGGTGGGGAAGCGCTGGCGGGTGGGGAATGAGCGATACTGGCGGATGGGGAAACAGCGGCGGAACCTGGGCCAACGCAAGCGGCGGATGGGGCGCCGCAACTGGCGCCGACAACAGCGACTGGGGGACTTCCCGCGAAGAACAAAAGGGGGGAGAAGAAGAAGCAGAAGAAACTGAGGCAACACCTGCAGTTGTTCCCCTTGGTCGTCCCCCGCGCCACGCTCCATTCGCATCACCTCCTCCTGACAACCCGCCGCGTCGCGACCCATGGGACACCATCGATTGGGGCAACGAGCCGTCAACCCCGCGTCGCACCGTCTACGGACCCGCTCCTGAACCGCGTGAACCCACCTTCGTCCCTGGAACTATCCCTGGGACCAATATCCCCCTCTCTGAAATCCGAGACAAAGAGTTCCTGGCGCTATTGTTGACTACTGCCAACGACGAAGAAGAAGCAGCAGAAGAAGCAACAGTAGAACCTGCTCCCATACCTAACGAAGATTCCGAAGAAGCTCGCGCGCGCTACATGCGCACCTCCGGCTTTCGCGCCGACGATGCACTTTGGCACCAGCGCCTCGGACATCCTTCGCGCACAACGTTAAAAAAACGGCATCGACGCAGGCGTCTTCGCTCCTGGAGCGCTCCTGCGCCCAGATGGCACCGAAGTGAGAGGCGCGACACACCCGCGCAACTGCACCGTCTGCCCCAAAGCCGCGCTAAGCCACCAGCCGTTCCCGCTGCTCGAGCCAGGGACGAACCGCTACCCCAAGCTGCATAAGGTGTATAGCGACTTCCTGAATGTGGTGCACTGCGGAGTCGATGACGAAATGTACACTCTTACCTTCGCCGACGCTGGAACGCGCTATGTCTGGGTCGCGAACGTGGAATCCCGCGACAGAGCTTACGAGGTATTCCGCCTCTGGCTGGCGCA